CTTACTTATATAACCGAATTATAAATAATAGAATTAATAGTTATTTTCTATTTAACTTAAATAATAGCTTTATTTCTAAGTAATTAAATTTTAGGCAAATATAATATAATTCTTTCTAATTTATATAACTAAAACCTTAAAGAATAATATAAATATATAAAGTATTTAGGAAATCTAGTATTAGGCCGGATTAGGGAATTTATATATAATTAGAGAAAAGTACTATTTTTTTATATTTTTAGAGAAATTCTAGTATTAGTATAGCTATAGTTATTAATAGTTATATAATATAGTTATATAATATAGAAATAACTAGAAGTAATAAAATATAAATAATAAGTAATAATTATATAACCTTATATTATATAAGTAACTTAACTAGTAGCTAGTTCCTATTAGGCTTAATAAATTTAGGAATTATATATTAATACTATAATATTATAATTCTTATTTCTAAATAATAATAACTTTACTAACTTATATAAATAATATTTTATAACTATATAATAATACTATATATTTCTAGTAAACTAATAATAGTAAACTTATATAATATCTCTTTCCATTTATAGAACTAAGTCTTAAGAGAATTATTTATAAAATAGTTATAGTATTAATATTTATATATTATTTTTATTAATTCATGAATTAAACCTATTTAAATATTTGCCTTATATAACTCGATATTAGGTTATTTTTATCTAGTATTTAGGAAGCTATTAGATATATATCCTATATAATTAAAAGTAATAATAGCTAATTTCTAATTAAATAATTAATAAAGCTTTAGTAGCCTTTTTATTTATATAAATATCTATATTATTTATTTTTACTAGATTTTATTAATTATTTAGGGCTAGTTATCTAAACTTTTTCTTATATTTTATAATTTCCTTATATTATTATATTTTTATTTCTCTTGCTTTTTTTATTAGCTCTTTTATTCTAATATTTTAATTATTATTTTAATCTCTTATTATTTCTATTTCTTAAAACCTTAAACTATATTATATTAAGAAATATTTTATAGCTTTTCTAGTCTATTATTAGTAGTTTTAATATATTCTTAATTCTGGATTTTATTTTATAATATTTTAATTAAATAAGAATTTAGAAAAATAGATATATTAGCTAATAATAATTTTATTTATTACTTTTCTAAAGCTAATTCTAATTCTTTTTCTAATTTAGCTATATTCTTATTAGTTTATTTATTATTACTATTATTAGAAGATTTAGAAATAAAATAAAGTATAAATTTTACTAATATATTTCAAGTAATATTATTAATATTTTACTAATTAGTCTAATCTTATAATAGCCTAGAGAATTAGAAAAGAGTCTGGGATTAGGCTTATATAGAAATAGAAAATATATTATATAACTTAGAAACAAGTTCTAAAATTATAAAAATATTATATAGATTTATATTTCGTTTAATATATCTAGTATTAATATTACTAGAAATACCTTTAGCCTTATTTCTAGTATCTGTTTTATCTAAGTTATTACTATTAAGAATTACTAGTTAATTTATATATAATTAGTAAATAGCTTCTAAATATAAAAAATAGCTAATATATTTATTTTAATTATTATTTTAATTATTATTTAATTCTAATTATATTTAGTTAATTTATAGTTTAGTCCTATAAAGAATTAGTTATTTCAGATACTAAAAAGTAAATCTAGTTTTTAAAGCTTTAGTTAAGATCTTTAGATATAAAATAGCCTAAAAGAATTCTTTAAAAAATAGAAAATTATTATTTAATTTATTATTATTATTAGTAAAAACATATTTATAATCTAAATTAATAAATTAGAATAATTTTATTTTTAGTATAACTTTTTTTTATATTTTTAGCTCTTATTACTATATTTCTTTTTATCTTAATTTAATATCTAGAATAGGAAAAAGTAATTATAGGTCTATATATTCTCTAACTATTACTAATATTAAATAAAGGAATTAAATAGCTAGATTTAGAAAACTAGAAAGTATTTCTATTATAAAATAAAATAAATAAAGAAAACTAGTTTAAATATATATAGAATATTTAGTAAAAGGAATTAAGTAGCTTAAATAGTAATCTATAAGTATTTACTTATCGGAATTAAACTAATTCTATTTAAAATCTAATTTACTATATTTATCTTATAGAGCTTATAGTTATTTCTATATAGCTAAGCTCAAATAATCTTTTTTTATAAAATTAAAACTCTATAATATATATTATATTATATCTATTTTAATAGTACTTATAATTCTATTATAATATTCCCCTAAACTAAAGAATTTTCGAAATAGCCTTTAATTACTAGATTTATTCTTCTAATATATAATAGCTATAAATTAAGCTTTTTCCGAGGCTACTATATTTTATATTAGCTTATTTACTTATAACTTATTCTTTTACTATTAGTATTTTATATTCGGGTTATAAAATATTTAATAGAAGCTTTAATACTATTATTATTATATAAATTATTATCTAATATAGCTATAATTAGTAATATTTAGTTCTTCTTATTATAGATTAGTTCAGATTAAGATATATAATATATATTATTATCTTATTAGCCTAAGGAAATTTATTAAGATCCTTTTCTTAATATATAATATTATAATATAACTAGATAGAAGCTAGCTATATTATTATAAGGCATTTCTTCTATTAGCTAGATTATATTATATAAAAGAAATACTAAAAGTAAGCCTCTATTATTATAATTATTAAAAAAGATATTACTATAAGAATTATAATAATATAATAGTAAAAAGAGAATAGTAAACTAAGTTTATATTTATATTTCGGGTAATATAATATTATTCAGAGAAATAATTACTATTATAATAGTTATAAGTATTAAATTTAGAATAGTAGATTAAGGGAAATTAAGAGTTCTAGTTTTAAACCGGCTATATTATTAAGGCTTTTTAGCTATAAAGGGCCTATAATAGGGTATTTTAAATAAATCTAGTAAAAAGGAATTAATGGCATATAATGAGGCTAAACGGCCAAATAAGGAAGTATTAGGAAAGAATTAAAGGAGAAGATAATTAAGTAGTAGAAAATACGAACTTTTATAGATATTAAAAGCAATAACTGGCCTATATATATACTTTTCCCGATATAGAAGTTACTAAACCCGAGAGGGCAAACCGTAATACTAAAATAATATATTTATAAATTATAAACTAATTAAAATATAATATTATTTAAATTTTTTATATAATTAAAAAAGAAAGTTAAACTATTTTTATTTTATTAATTTAAAACTAAAAAAGAAAAAAGCGTTTTAAAAAAGCTTTTTAAAAAAGCTTTAAAATTAAATAAAATATAAAAAGTATATAAACTTATATAATATAACTTAAATATTAGCTTAATTATTACTGATTTAATTATAAGCTAATAATAAGCTATTTATAATAATTATAATACTAATAATATATAAAAAATTTATTAAGAGTTTTTTTAAATAAATTTATAAATTAAATTAAATATGGCTCTTATAAATCTTATAAGATTTATATTAATAAATATAAATAAGTAATTTTCTTTTAAAAAATAACTTATAACTTTAGTTTTATTAATTAATCTAATATATAATATAAATTATTTAATATATTTATTATAGTTTAATATAAATTAATAATAATTTATTTTACTCTTTTTCTTTTAAGTAATAGTACGAGCCAAAGATCTGGCTAATTGCAACGCGCAGCAATGCGAAAACCAAAAGGAATAGCAGTAAATTATATGGGGCTTGGCAAAGGGCGGTGAACCCCGAAATGTGACCTTCGCCCAGGGAGCAGACCCAAAACCCCTCGGAGGTAGGGTATGTAAAAAAACCGTATTTTATAAATAAGACGGTTTTAATACATGTTTTATATGTTTTTACGGGCCATAAAATACGGGTTTAAAACACAGATCACATGATATTCACGTGAAAGCTAGCCTAATTTGGCTAGCTCCATAAATTTTGCAGCGAGATTTCCTCGAGCTTCTCCTTAACCAAGCCTCCTAATTTCCACCACCATTAATCTAACCACTCAACCACGCATCTACCCTTCGTCCGGTGAGATATAGTCCACGCTAGTAAGGGGGCCTGGCTCAGGGCGAAAAGGCGATAGATGACTAATAAGTTTTTAAGCAAAGGTAAATTTACGACTTTACAGTCTGAGCCAGGCCCCCTTGCTAGCGCGGACTATGTCTCACCGGACGAAGGGATAACTCGAACGATCGCGAAAAGAGCAAGAAGTATGAAGCAGAAGACGAAGATTAGGCTGGTTTTCCACTATATAGCTATCATGTGACCCTTTGTTTTAAAACACCAGAAATTATAAAATACCGTTTTTTATACGTTACAAAAAATACGAAACAAACCCGTTTTTTATGAGCGACATACCCTACTCGGAGGACCCTTTAACTAGCGTCAAGGCCACACTGCCATGCCCAATCTTACGCATGGCGTTGTAAATCCCTGGCTAATCTCGGATTCCGCCCCTCTTGGTTCTAGCGAGCGTTTCTCACTGCTCCCTCTTGAGTTGATACTCACTAATGTTGTAAACTCGAACATCAGCTGCTAGCCGCTGTTTCAGCCACGGGACCAGGGACCAGGAGATGCCGTCCTCGACGGATTTCCGGCCCCCAGTCCGCTAGATGTTAGCCAGAAGATCGTTTACAGTATTGTTCTTTGTTGCATCAAACGGGGCTAGATCCATGACCGGCAGCCGGTTCCAGTACCAAGATACGCTGTACAGTCAGCGCTAAGAAGCCCTGTGCTCCCGTACGAAGTAGTTGCCATTTTGCGGATTTATTGATTCTTATGCTGCGGCGGATTGGCCAATAATTATAGATGTTGCCTGATTTGATGGAGCAGCTACACGGCGTCGCGTGGCCAGCCCCCTACGCAGCCTAAGCGAAAGGCGGTCCAGCAAGGTACTAGTATCCACCAGGGGGTATATATACACACATCATTATGATTTGTTCAATCTAGACGGAATCTCCCGCAGCATCACTCAGACACGAGCGCTCTTTCCTCCCGCAAACCGAGATCGCGCCCGCCAATTCATTCCCAATGGCTACTACGACAGCGACAGAAAATAGCTTTGTGCTTCACGTCGACTCGGCATACGGACCTATATCTCGCACAGTACAAAAAAGCCCTCCACGGGATGCCCAACCAGGCGAAGTCCCCGTCATCGACGTATCGGGGATGTTCAGTGATGAGCTCTCAAAGCGTCAAGCCGTGGCCGCTGAAGTCCGCAAGGCTTGCACAGGAATGGGATTCTTTTACATCATAAACCACAAAGTCCCTGACTCCATCACGGAGGCGCTCGCAGAAGCCTCTCGAGATTTTTTCCACCAGTCGATCGAGGAGAAGAATAAAGTCTCCTTCGAGCATCAGATTGAGGGGTATCAAGGGCTCAATCAAGAGCAAATCAATAAGAGCGAGTCGATTGACGTCTTCGAGAAACTGAAGATAACATATCGTCCGTCCATGGACCCGGTATCCAAGCTCGATGGCTCTTCAACAAGTGGCTACCAAGAATTTCCATGGGAGAAAACAGCCTCAGTGCCATCGCTCGAAGTTGCGTACAAAAAGTTCTTCGCCACTCGGCTCGTTCTAGCCAGGCAACTGCTTCAGATAATGGCCCTGGCCTTAGATTTGCCAGAAGATTATTTCGATGCCAAGGTCGCTCAGCCACAGGCTGCAGTTACGCTCAATTATTATCCTGGTAAAGCGGAAGGTGAAGAGAGAACTGAGCCGGCCGGTTTGGGATCCCACACAGACTTCAGCCTTATCACTCTCCTCTGGCAAGATGACGCTGGCGGACTGCAGATCCTGTCCCCTGAGGGAGAGTGGATCAAAGCCAAGCCAATCCCTGGTTCTCTGGTTTGCAACGTGGGAGACATGATGACGATGATCACGGGAGGTAAATTTATTAGCGATATTCACCGAGCGAAGACTGAGGGGACGAAGGAGAGAGTTTCTATTCCGTTTTTCATTGGCCTTGCACCGAAGGTTAATATCGAGCTCGTAAAGACGTGCGACGAGCCAAACAGGATCAAGGAGGATTATGAAGGTATCACAGCAGGAGACTGGCTACGGAAGAGGGTGATGGATGTGAAGCTCGGGAAACTGGCCAAGGCAACTTAGTCTTGACTTGGTTTCAGAGAGGTCTCGAGACTCTCTGTCACCATGGCATTAGCTAGATAATGGACCGGTTCAAGCAGGCGCATTCTCTTGTTTTCAAGACTTCATTAAGTTCGGGTATCTTACAGCCGAGCTTATCCCAAATCCCCTGCTCTTGATATATACTCTTATAAACATCACCTCTTCTCTTTATGACAAAGCCTAGATGAGCCTGATGCGCGAGCTTCTGCCAGGTGTAGTAGTCATGGATGGTTTGTTGCAGATGACTTTCGGTAGTACATCCTGTAAGGACATTAAGCCTTTGAGAACCCTGAACTGCCCTTACTACTAGAACTAAACCGGAAAGCAGAGAGCCCTTATATTATTATAAATAATATATTAAAAAAATTTAATAAATCAAGAATAATTAACTATAATTATAATTAACTATAATTATAATTAACTATAATTATAATTAACTATAATTATAATTAACTATAATTATAATTAACTATAATTATAATATAATAAAAGTATTAATATAACTATTTCTTTAAGAATTACATATATAATTATAGAACTCGAAATACGAAATATAATTATATAATCTCGTGTTTTATAAATAGCTTAATTAGTAAACTAGATTCTATTAGGCTTAATAAATTTAGAAATTATATATTAATATTATAATACTATAATTTTTATTTTTAAATAATAATAACTTTATTAATTTAATATAACTAGTATCTTATATTTATATAATAGTATTATATATTATTAGTAAATTAATACTAATTAATATTATAATTTCCAGATATCTAATATTTGAAATATCTAGCTAAATATCTAAATATTTTCTAGATATATATAATATAACTACTTTATTAGAAAAATATATTAGAAAAGTACTAGAGATATTTAGAAAACTAAGCCTCTTTAGAACTAGTATATTATATAATATATATACTTTTTTATAGCTTCTTATATTCTAGTTTTTTTCTTCTTAGCTTTAAATTATTTTTATAAATTATAAATTATTTTGCTTTTTAAGTCTTAAATATTATATTTATAATAGTATTTAAAGCTTACTTTCTTTAATCTTATAAAGAACTTTAAATAAACTAATTTAGAATAATTAGAAATATAAATACTATTAAAATAATAGAATCTTAAAAATATAAGTAATAGATTTTAGAATAATAAAAATAAAAAGCTTTGAAATCTTTAGAGAAATCAGGTATTTATATTTTTATAAATATATATTAATAATATATTAGAAATTTCTTTAAAAATCCCGAAAATTAAAAAACTTTATATAAAAGCTATTTTTTAATTAAGTTCTAAAATTATAGATACTTATAAGCTAGTAATCTAATTATTATTTTTAAGTTCTATTTTATAATTTTATAGGCTCTCTTTCTCTCTCTCTCTTTATATATATATATATATATATTAGTAATAAAACTATTAAAGAAAATATAATAAAAAATATATAATAAATTAATTTTCTAAAATATTATATAACTAGAAACTATATTAACTTTTATTAAGACTTCTAGTAAAGCTTTTATTAATTTAGATTATTTTATTAATAGCTCTTTTCGAATTAAATATCTTATTAATATTACTAAAGAATTTATAAATAAATATATAAAAATATTTTATTTTATTTTTATTTTAAAGCTTCTAAAAACTAATAATTATATTATTATTAGAAAATTATATAAATAGACTAAAGAGTTTAATACTTTACTTTTAGATATTAATATTATTATAAAAAGCTATTAGAAAAATATTTATAATTATAATAAAACTATTTTCGAAAATACTAAACTTTATAATACTAAATTCAAAAATAGTATTAAATACTATATATTTATAATAGATTAATTTATAATAGCTTTAGTTATTTCTATTTTATTTACTTTTATTATTTTTATAATTCTAACTATTTTAAATTTCTCTTTAAAGAATTCCGAACTATTTTTTATTTATTTCTATTTAAAATCTTCTATATTTTATAATTTTTTATTATTTTTAGAAATACTAGAATTCCTAAGCTTTTAGATTTAATTTTCTTTATTAAAGATTATATTATTTTTAATAACTAGCTAGTTCAAATTAAAAACAAGCTATAAAGAAATACTAATTTATATTTCTAATAAATTTATAAATAATATTCTTATTTTAACTAATTTTTATATGAATAAAAATAATTCAAATTAGTATTATTAGTCTTTAAAGCTATATTTTTATTTAAAAAAGCTATATTCCAATTTTAATTAAATATTTCAGGAATTCTTTACTTTTTTTATAATTATTTATAAAAGATAATATTAGTTTTTAAAATATTAAATATAAACTAAATAAAAAGCTTTTATTAAAGCTTTAGAGATTAGTATATATATATTATAATAATTTTTCTATTAATATTATTTGCTTTATTTAATATTATATTATTAATAATTAATAAATTAAAGCTATATATAAAAAAACTAAAAAGTATAAAAAAGTAAAAGCTATTTTATTTAAGTTTACTTCTAATATTATATTTTCTTATATTTTAAAAAAGAAAACTAAGAAATCTATATTAATTACTTTTATTAAATATATATTTTCTTATAAATATAAATAATATTTTATAAAAATTAAAGCCTTTTTAATTATTAAATACTATAATTATAATAAGTTTAGCTATTATATTAAATATAATAAGGAAATTAAATTAGGCTTAATTCCTGTTTTACTAAAATATCTAGTTCCTATTCTAGTAAAGTATTTAAAGAATTCAGGCTCTAATTTTAGTATATAATTAGAAAACAAATACTTTTAAAAAAAGTTTCTATTTTAGGAATTTATAATATAAATTTAGTAAAAATTTTAATAATATTCTATACTATTAATATAAATAAATTAAGAATTAAGTTTTTTTTCTTATTAATACTAGAACTAATAATTATACTTTTATTAATATAAAGCTTATTTAGTTTATAAAATAATTCTTAGAAATAGAATTATAACTTTTATTTATTTTATATTATATATAGTTTTAATAAAAAAACTAGTTAAATTTACTAAAAAATATATAGAAGTTTTATTTCTAATTAATAAATAAAATATTAATATATTTATAATAATTTTAAGTTTTAGAATTTATAATATTATTCTTAATAGAAAATAAATTATATATATTAATATTCTAGTTAATTATAAAAAATATAAGCTTATATAGCTAAATTTTTTTTTAAAAAAACCTAAATCTATATAATTTAATTATATTATTATATAAGGCATATAATAATAAGATATTATATAAGTAATTAAAGTAAAAAATAGAATTTAAAATAAAATATAGAATAAAATATAGAAGTATATTAATTCTAAGAACTAGTTCTTTATTAAGAAACTAATTAATACCTATTTCCTAAGCTTATATATCTTTATATATAGAAATACTAGTCCTAATTAGAGAATATAATCCCATATAAGTATTAGCCTAATTAGGCTACTAAATCTAGCTAGATACTTATTATTAATATATATATTATATATTAGTATTACTTAATAATAGCTGGAAAAGTAATCTTATAGGAAATATTAAAAAGATATTAATTAATAAAATTCTATTATAAACTATTTCTAGAAATCTATTATTTTTAAATAGTTTTTCTTTTTTTTAATTAATAAAAAAGAATTATATAAAACTATAAAAAAGAAGCTTTTCTAATCTAATTAAAATATAATATTCAAATAAAAGCTAAAGAAATAAGAAAAAGTTTTTAATAAAAAATAAATATTAGATTTAGTTATTCTTATTTTTATAATATTTAATTATATATATTATAAAACTAGATTTCTAGATTTAAAAAGCAAAATAGAATAGTTTTATTTCAAGAATTCTAAATTAAAAAGAAAAGCTTATAAATATAAGAGCTTTAGTATTCTAAATACTAGTTAGCTATATATATTATTATAGTTATATAATATTAAATTTACTAGTAAAGTAATAAAGTATAATATTATTTTTATTTTTAGAAAAGCTTATTTCAAATACTTTTAGATTAAAAAACAAGTTCTTTATAACTTATAAATTATATAATTTCATATATTCTTATATATTCCATTTCTAATATACTAGTTCTTCTAAATCTGAATCTAAATTAGAATTAGAGCTATAAGATCTAATTAAAATATTAAAATTATAGCTATTATTAGAATTATAGCTATTAGAATTATTAACTATATAAATTCTAACTTTTCTATTATTTTTATTTATTATAATCTTTAATTCTAGTAAAAATGTCTTTTTCTTATATAGTTTAATATTTATTATTTCTATAATATATATATTTGCCTTATTTTTAAAATAGTTAATATTTTATTAAACTTATAAAATATATTTGCCTTATTTTTAAAATAGTTAATATTTTATTAAACTTATAAAATATATTTAATTATTTATATAAAAGAAAAAGAAGAAATATAAAGAAAAGTATTATAAAGAAAAGAATTATAAAGGCTTAATAATTATATTAATAGTATTAATAATTAATATATTTATAATATTATTTTTATTTAAATAATAAGGCTTTTTTCTAGAATTATAATATTTAGCTAGCTATTATATTATTTTAATAAACTTAATATAACTTTAAAAAAGATTTAATTATTATATTAGTTTATTTTAATTATAATATTAAGTTTTTAATAGAAAACTATAATCTTATTAATATTATTCTAGTTTTATTTATATATCTTATATAGAATTTATTTAAATTTAGCTATAAAAGTATAAAGCGAATTAGTATTTTATTTAAGAAAATATAGCTTATTTTTTATTTCCTATATTTTATTTGAATTTAAATAAATATAAGAAAGTTAATTAAGAATTAAGAAATAAAACTAGCTTTAATTATCTTTAGTTTAAAAAAGCTAAAAAAGAATTATTATTTAAATATAATAGAACTAAATAGTAGTATTACTAATAGCTTTATTATTAACTTATAGCTTGGCCTTAATTAATAGAAACCGGGTATTAAACTTATAAATTTAGTTATTAAATTTTTTGAGATATAAAAAAATAAATTTTAGTTTTATATTTATAAAAAAAAGCAAATTAATAAGAAAATAAACTTATTATTTTATTACTAAAAGACTTTAGCTTACTTTTATATCTTTATTTAAAGCTTAGTAATTATATTAGTAATCTGGATTTATAAAG